ATAGCAATGGCCTCCAACCTACTAGCAATGGCCTGCAACCTAATAGCGATGGCCTGCAACCTAATAGCGACTCAGAATACAATGGGATGCCGGCCACGCGGCGGTTTTCCTCCCCTTCACGTCACTGTGGGTGGTATACCCCAGACATGGCACCATAAAGCTGGAGATGACTGACCCCCTTCTGAAACACCCGGAAAAAGCAGATCGAACTCCATCTCTACACGATGTGCTTTCTGAATCCCTCTTTGCAGTGCCTTCTACAGGTGACCCATTTTTTCATGGCCTTTCTAAGCCACTCACATGGTCAGCTCAGCCACGTTCGTCTTTCCGCTGCCTGTGGGGGGCCTCGGTCGGCAGTCTCTCTTAAGGCTCTGGCTCCGGTGAGTTGATTGGGAGGTCTACCTATTTTTATGCACATGACCATATCCTCTGAAGGTGATTAGACCCCCCCCAAGCACCCACCATATGCATCTTCGAAACGGAGGTAGTTGGAGCTAGTTGTAGCCCTAGGGTCCATTGGAAAGCTCCTCTTCACGCAGTGGAAGAGTAAGCAGCCACACTGAAGCCGATCTGATGCTCTAAAGACCTTTAAAGGTCGACCAAAGCCTACCTGCTGAACCTTCTGACAAAGAATCTGAAAATCCAATCTAACAGGGTACTGTACCAGAAGTAGCAACTGTGGCAAACTCAGACTCTTTAACAGCCTGGGAAGCACAGTCATGGAACAATTGAGTTATACTGATATACTTGCAGCATGTGAAGCCCTATAGATCATTCATTCCGTGACACTACGCTTGTCAAATGCTGCGGGAGGAACAAGTTTGCCGCTGGTCCTGAGACTGAAATGTGCCAATGCTGAAGGGACAGCAACTACTGGGGGGGGGCACTTGTTGAGCTTTCTACCAAAGCCCCCGTATAGCTTCTGATTGGCGTTTCCACCCACCCAACTGTCCATACTCTCTCACTCTCGGGGTCGCCGGCGCCCAGCAAAACATTGTAGTCGGTGTGGTAGCAGGTGTGGAAGACCTGCGCAACCCGAGCCAAGCACGGGGTGAGGGTTGTCGGAAGGAGTGTGAAAACAGCCCATGGAATATGCTGAGTGTGTGTAGAGTTCTCTTCAATAAATGGAGTTCTTGGTGTGACTGACTCCAGGTTTGAAGCCATTCTATTTCTATTGAAGCCTGGTCCCAAACAGGTTCAATATGGTTCAACGCATCAAGAAAAGCAGATTACACACTCCCTCAAAAGAACTACTAACCTAAAATTGGCACATCGTATACTGTATTAACATGACCAAGGAAGTTCTCATTCTCATCTTCCAGAAGCTCTTACACATGTGCTTCATTCAGTAAAGCTGTCTTGTGAAGTGCGCCACTCAAAACTGCCCGGACTCGTTGATTCCGAAAGTCCCCCAAGAGAGGCTGATGACGGCTGATGGTTTTCATCGTCTGGCGGCTGGTGTTGCTTGGATCTATCAACTACTCGGTCGTGCCTTTCCATACCCGGGGTGATCCATTTCAAGCACAGTCGACGGTGCCATTGCGCCTGGGGAACCTTCACACGCCCGGACTCCACCGGTCGCGCGAGTCGCCTCGCCTGCGTTTGGATGGCGTTGAAGTGGGTGAACTTGTACAGCCTCACCAGGGCGATCTTCGGATCCCCAAGAGCCAAGCAGTTCTTGGTGATGGTTGGATGGAACATACCTGGAGTCGATCCGTTAGTACCTCGGAAAAGGGGTAGTCTTGTACCTTTTTGTTATGGGGTCGTGTCCCATTTTCTAAGGTACTTTTGGAGGGTCCAGGTAGACTCGAAACCACCCGAACTCCGAACTGGGTGGCGCCGGCAGGATGGCGTCTTCCTTCTCCCACCCAACAAAATTCTCATCCTCGAAGGTTGAAAATCCCATGTAACCATTCTGAAAACGCTTCCCTGGAGCAAGGGCAGAATGGCTCAACTAAAATGCAAAGGCACAAAACCACTAAGGGCGAAAAGCAACTCGGATGGAAGCGTCCCAAGGGTGTCTTCAGCAATGGGTTGACTGACACAAATGGCAAGAGTTCACTCAACGCAACCAACTGTTGATGCGTCTCACTGCAAGAGATGTCCTTCCTGCTCTCTGTTTCTAACCCTGGAAAAGCTGACTAGCAGAACGTAGCAGAACTATCAATGCGATCAAATTGTTGCATGGTGAGGGCAGCCCCAAAACCATACAGCATCGTTCCGATAGAAAGACCTTGACAGCCAGCATCAGTACGATAAATCCTTCGATCTGTGCCAAAGTCATCGGTGATAGACATG